GCCCATCCCGTTGGGGAGCAGTGGGCTACCATCGTGGGGGCACCAGGGGAGCAGTGTGGTAAGGGTTTTGCTCAGGAACCCAGAGTGCAGGTTGTGGGGATTGAACTGGGTACTTGCAACCTTCTCAGAACACAAGTGCACTAACCAATAGCCTAACACACACCCCAGATTTCTACTTTAACATATTTATGTGAAGAGAAAGACCTTTCAACACATGGACACACATGGTGATTGTATCCTCAGACAGAGCCTCCTCTGTTGTCTGAAACCGGAGAGGTCAGCATTCCTCTGTCCGGCCCTCAAATAAAGTCCCTAAACCTTGCAGAAATAACACAGGTTCCCACAAGGAGAGCAAACCTATGTGCTGGACCTGGTAAGCCAGTTTCTTCAACGGGACAATCAACGTCTTTGTGAAGATAAGTATATGCTAACAGGCTGCCTCCGGTGGAGGTTCCACCCATTCCAATCTTAGTACTGCAGATCGGCATGCCACATAAGTTGGACAAAACTCCTTCATGTATGCCGGGCTTTCAGAACTACATGTCTTCTCATAGCAAATGGACGAAGGAAATTTTTCTTTCTATACAGGATTTAATGAAACCTACCTGCTGTTTTGGAATTTTTCACAGCATGAATTCTCTGCAAAAAGGTAGGCAATTTCTTAAAGCCTCTTTGTAAACATTTTTATATAAGGGGAATTAACAATTTCACCTATCTTAAAACTGACTTAAAGCATACAGACATTTATTCTACATTTTCCGCCTGCAATAGTCCTATTACAGGAGTCCTATTGATAGGATTCTGAAACCTTTGGGGCTTAGTCCATCCAAGAACTAATTTGGTTTAAATACCACTGAATTTTATTTGATTCATGTTAGAAGTAAAGCAGTAAGAATATTCTGATGCTTTGATAAAAAAGTTTTAGAATAAAACTATGTAAAAAATACTATATTTGATGCAGACATCATTTCGGAATCTCTGTACTGCCTATTTTAAATTGACAAACTCTCCTTACCCTAAATTACAAATATGAGCTTCTCATCATAGGTTTTATTGATTGAATACTGTAGCTTCTAAAGTAATGTAAAAAAGGTGACATGAAAATGACTTTGTAATTCTTTCCAGACTGATTTATCAGTGTTGTTGTTTCTCATCTGTTCTGAACATGTTTGGCATGTATACATTTCTGTTAAATCAGCTCAGCTTCAATGGTGGCTCATACTGTATTTTGGATTCTGCACTTCTTGCTTAAATTTTTAAATAACTTTAACTTCATCATTACAAATTCTCACAGACTCAGAGTTTATTGTATTCGTTTTCAAAAGAGATCTCACAATTTTGTATGTTCTAGGTTATGAGACTATGCTACATGTACCACAGATGGCCCACCTACCACTCTGAAAAAAGCTTGGTATTGCCATTTTATAAGACATAAAATGAGAAGTACTGTAGAGCTAATAATCGTTAACATAATGTAAGTTACTTAGTCCCTTTTCTTCAAAAAACTGTTGAAAAATATTTAATGGGAAATAGAATCTAAAAACTCAAAGTATTAATTGTCACGAAATCGCTGATATATAATTAGCCTGTGTTCCATTTATTTCTCAAGCTGAAGCATAGATCCTGTAATAAAGTAGCTCCCAACCTAAGCCAGTTCTATTTCTAAGTTAAGAAAGGTTTGATAGTCTTGCAATTCAATGACTTGACGCAAACAACTGGTTTTCCTTGATAGAAATCATTAACCAGTCTTAATGGTACATCTGATGGAATTGAGATGATATAATTGAGGTTATTTGGTAAGATCAAGGTCAACTGAGATGACCTTGAGATCACATGTGTTGTGAATCAGTCCTATACTAGTGATAAATTATGATTAGCAATACACACTGAAATCAACATGTAATTTTGAAAGTTGTTTTTTATGTACTGCAACACATTTGCTCTAAATGTTTGAACAGAAATTAATGAGATGCAAATTATTTAGAGTGTAAAAATGTTTTTTCTTTTTAACTGCAACAAGCAATATGGTTTAAATGCATGATTTTTCTGTGAACTGTTTTTATAGTGGTACTTCGAGTAAACAAAGTAAACATGGAGCAAAACCTCCTTTTAGCAGCCACTGAGCTGGAGGATGGGTCCCCTTTAACACGTCACTATACCAACATAGGACAACACAGAGCCTCTTAGGACACACAACATTGCAAATATACAGACAATCATACCAAGGGGCAGCTTAGAGGGGTTAATTAATCAAACAAAAAGGCTTGAACAAAAAGACTTGAGAGCTCACAGCAATGGTGAAATGTACCATTGTAATGACAAAGGTGATTTAAATCTGAAATACTCACATGACGAGAAAAGACAATTAGGAGAAATGTATTGATACAGTTACTTATCTTTGGTGCACAGACCTCGGCAGGAAACATAGCATTACATTTTGATAGATATGCACATGATAAGGGGCAAAGAATAGGGCTGTTCCCCCCCAGGCCTGAAACTGGTGGAGTGGAGATAGATGAAGTTGGTCAGTCTGTAGAGTGCTGGTTAGTGAGATGGTCTGCTGAGCCAGTGGATTGCGTGAGCTGATACTAGAGCTTCACTCAGGGATCTGGAAGATGAAAGTCCAGTTGGATAACACAGGTTGAGAGAACCTGTCCATGATGAGCAAGCATGGAGTGACAGTGGAGAGGAAAATCTCCTTATTAGGAAGACACCTCTGGCAGAACCAGGCTCAACATGGCGATCTTCTGCCGGACTGGTTCAGATGAGACAGGGAACACAGTAAGAGCCCGGGAGGAATGACACCATAATGAAGCTTTAGCTACAATGGTGGAGGAGGGGATGGAGGTGGGTTGAAACGGTATCATCTAAATGAAGTCATACAGCACATCCGCCATCTGCGCACAGGAGCAGACAGGTGCATATCGGAGGCCATTTGGATGCCGATTGGCTTTTGTGGAGGTGTGGTTCAAAGGTGATTGGCTGTGTCGCAGGTGGATGAAGGAAAGCAATTAATTTCTTCAGTTGAACTTCCGCCTGGACTCCATTATTTCAAAATTAAATGCAAGTAAAATTATTATTATAGTCATCAATTTCTATTTTCCTTAACTTAGCAGGAAAATCATCACCTAAGATATCTTTCAAGGTTTCAAATTGTGGAAAGAAAGCTTTAGCATTAGGAATATATATATATATATATATATATATATATATATATATATATATATATATATATATATATATATATATATATATATATATATATATATATATATATATAAAAAAAAATGTTTTCTCACACCTCGTGGGGTGGTATGTGTCATCCTCAAGCTCGGGTCCTCTACCAGAGGCCTGGGAGTTTGAGGGTTCTGCGCAGTATCTTAGCTGTTCCTAGGACTGCGCTCTTCTGGACAGAGACCTCTGATGTTTTGCCTGGAATCTGCTGTAGCCACTCTCCCAGTTTGGGGAGAAACTTGGTACTGATATATATATATATATATATATATATATATATATATATATATATATATATATATATATATATATATATATATATATATATATATATATATATATATTAGGGTTGTCAAAAGTATCGAAACTCAAATAAGTATCGATACTGAAATGTTTTATCCGGATACAATACTCGTTTTTAAAAGTATCGATACAGTGCCGTCACCAGTGGCACCTAAGCAGTCATTCATCTAAAGTGCAGAATAGAGGACAATGCACTTTCTGGACACTGTGTGATTGAATAATTCTGTGCACTTTTCAGTGTCAGACTTATTTGAGAATTATTTTTGTTTCTTAACTGGTTTGGCTAGTGTCATTGTTATGTGTGCAAAGCATAGCCAAGGAAGGAACACTTAATTTGAATTTTATAAGTTTTTTATCAAGCTTGCTTAATATTATGCACAGCGTACAACCTTTATTGTGTTTATTTATTGTATTTTATTTATTAATGAAAATATTTCTGTAGACTTTTGGAGTCTTTGTTTTTATCCTTGTGGTATCGAAAATGGTATCGAGTATCGAATATTTTCCTTAGTATCGGTATCGAGTTGAAAAGTTTAGTATCGTGACAACCCTAATATATATATATGCAAGATGGACCCATAACCTCCTTGCTCCAAAGCAACATAGCTGACTACTAGCTCTTTTCTTTATTATTATTATTATTATTATTATTTTTTTTAAATCTTCTCTTAAAGATTTGTTTTCAGTGATGATAACAACAATATTTCTGACATTCCTTATAAGGTTGGCTGGAAGATTTCTCTCTAACAGGAATCTGCAGAGGAATTCATTCCCATCTGCTAATTATCCATGTCTCTTTTTGTGAGCCTCAGCATTAAAAATGTATGGCAAATTGCCTTTAGAGCAGTGAAAGAGACCTTGTCTCTCTTCTCTTTGCAAGCTAATAAAATAAATGCTGTTATGTCTCAAGATTTAACCACCTCAATGCTCTTTTGAGGTAAATTCAGAAAAGGTTTACCTATAGTTTGTCTTCAAGTGTGATTAGCAGGCCTAATTGTGGTAATAATTGTCTGTCTTTCAGGAAATCTTACAGTTGGATCTATTTTTTTTAGTCTGCCTTATGTTGGGATAGAAAATGATTTCTAGATGAACAAGTTTGGCAGTATTTGGAGCTGCAAATGATCTTGGCCTCTGAAAAGATGTGGTTAAATACAGTTAACCAATAATAGAAGAATAACTAGAATTACTTTTCACATGTGATCAGTTTGATTGGGATCTCTTATTTTCCTTATAAAATAAGATGAACATTCAGAGAACTGTTTTTGTATTTTGTTTAGGTTTTCTTTGTGTGGATTTTGTTTAATCTAAGAAAGGTATTTGTAACATAAATATATATATATAAAAAAAGAAAGATGTATCCCCTACAGCTCTCTGCAGAATCCGTTTTCACAGCACTGAACGTTTAATCATTTGAGTTTGCGTACTGGTGGTATTCATTGAGTCAGTCAGGGAAATACACGGGATTCAGTTAGACCACTTAACATGCTTTATTTCAGCATTCAAAATAATTAAAAACATCTCAATTTATTATACAAATACAAAAAAGGTACAGATTCGATTTGTTTCCCATTGGTTTGTGTTCCTAACTTCTAACCTCTCATCTGATGCCTCTCTTTCTGGGCCGTATTTTAAATCTCTGATTTTAAATTTTTTGGAAAGTAAAGTGTTTCACGAGAGAACAAGAAGGAAAGTACAACAGATGCATCATCAATGAATGATGGCAATGTTAGGATTAAAAAGCTGGAAAGCAAATATAGGAGGTTTTACTGTCATCATTATCAGAGAGAAATCTGTCATATTCTGGGCACCAAGAATTAAGGCTGTAGTTTTAGCACCAAGAGGAAGCTGCCATGCCAGAATAGCTGTAACTGCACAACAGTGGAGCCATAACGGACAGCTAACAGACCTCAGAAAAATAGCACCTTAAAAGTTAGAGTTCTGCTTCTGTTAAAGTGTCAGTAAACCTCGACTACCTCACCAACAACCACAATGAAAACAGGCTCCATTTGAAATACGCTGGAATTTCTTTCATTTCTGAGGTAGCCATAATATATATATATTTTTTTTTTCTTTCTTTCCTTTAAAAGGTTTAAATCCATGCTTCTCGTCTGGTAGTTTTGATGTAGTTTTTCTGTGGAAAGGAGGAGGAGATGAACAGAAACAAGAAATTAACCACGAAAGATACAAATCCAAATCATAACAGTAGGGTGGGGAGGTGGGGGCAATGTTGGCCTTTCCACTAGCAGGTGGAACACAGAAGGGCAGAACAACAAAGACAAAGATGGCTGTCAGTTTCACCGTTTATTCGTCAACACCTGAAACATGGTACAAAGCAATTTGATTCTGTCTGTAACTGTCCTTTCATTGCTCAGAGCTCAGAGGTGTATAAAATACAAAAGTCACTTGTGTATTTCTGTAAACTCCAGAGAGGCCTCATTCAGCTGGAATAAGAGGGGATTTGTTTTTTTATACTTTACAGAGGCATATATTATTTTCTTGTTGCCAGCGAAAGAAAAATGTCTTCTCTACAGGATCCGTGGTGTTGGTGATGGCAAAACGAAGGAAAAAAAAGTAAAAAAAACAAAAATAGTGGTCCCAAACACAGCGATGCAGATGCCATCACACCGCCACTGTCTTTTTTTTCCCTAAGTGCAGGTTTTAGGCAAGTGGACCCTTGGAAACAATGGCTGAGAGGAGGTTTGTAGATTCAGGAGTGAGAGGTCAGATTTTCAGCCAAACGACATTAGAAGAATCTTTTGGTGGAATTTCTTTTTGGGGAGAGATGACTGCTAGAAAAAATAAAACACACATACACACACACACACACACACAACAACACTTTCAAGTCCAGATTTCTCTTTTTACAAGAAACAGACAGGTCCAACTTCAAGGCCAAACTCTTGGTCTGGAGCACCAACGTCCATAGGAGCGATATCAATGATGGGAAGGCGAGATGTTTTTGTTGTCTTATAGTCAATGACTGTCTTGCCCCATGTTCCGGTGTGTGACTGTAAAAAAGATGATAAATGATACATGATAATGTGTAAAATAATTTAAAATAATTCAAAAGATTGGCTCAAAAATAAAAATATTATTCCTATAAACCACAGGGATAGGTTCTCTTACCGTGCAACCATCTTCCAATACACTGTAGGTGAAACGGCTGTTGCCCTCGGCTCTTATCTCAATCTCATTGGAGCCCTGGAGGAGCAGGGACTTCTTGAGGTTGCCAGCAGCGGCGTCCATGTAGGCGATGCTGTTCTTGCAATGATAAGTAATGTTCTGGGATGCCTCAGTGGACATGAGACGCAAGAAGGTCATCTGAATGTTGACATCCTCTGGCAGAGAACCCTCACTGCCATACTCAAACTGGTCAGGAGAAAAAGGCAAAGTTACTGACTGGATTTCAGAGAGAAAACAGAATTTAATAGTAAAGGATGAAAATGGACTATAAGCGGAAGTGGAGCAGAAGATGTTTTGAAATTTGGGAAGAGATTCTAAGAAACTCATTCAAGATATTCTAAGAGACTCTTTCAAACCATATAAAAGGCTGGAAAGAAAAGAGAAACCCCCAAAGTAGAGAATTGTTATCATACAGTTATTCTGGAGGTTAAGAACAAAGGAGGGAACAGAGAGTAGATTTTATAAAGAAGAAAGGATCATGTGAGTCAGGGAGCTTTAGAGCTTCTTACCTGGAAGCCGTCATTCATAGCCTCTCCAAACCAGACGTGCTTCTTGTCCTTGATGTTCTTGCTCAAGTACCAGTTCTTTTTGGCAACCTCAGGCTGAGTTGGTGTTACGCATGTTTCACCAGTATCCATGTTGCAGAAGACCTTAATGGCATCCTGATTGCAGCCCTGGTCAGGGTCAATCCAGTACTCGCCTGAACAACAGTATTGAAAGGCATCAGAGAAATTCAAAGTTCATAGAAACTTGTTTTCTGGGTCTATTTTTCAAAGAGGAACATTACAAAAAGTGAGTTCTACCTAACAGAAAAACAGGTACATCAGTAAAGACTAACCGCTCTTCCAGTCAGGGTGGCACATCTTGAGGTCTCTGCAGGTTCTGGCAGGGTTCTTTCTGGTTCCATCAGGGCTGCGGATCTGCTCAATCTGTTGACTAAGGCTCTTCAGGGTGGTGTCCACCTCCAGGTCGCGGTCACGGAGAACATTAGCATCATCAGCACGGAACATGCGGTAGGGATCAGGGGCTTTCTCCTGGGTAATGAAACCAATGTCAAATCCACCACCAGGGGCACCGGGAGGTCCTGGGGGTCCAGGAGGTCCAGGAGGACCCTAAGAGAAAAAGAAGATTTGGTTAGTCCCTTCCTGGCAAGTTATACTTTTGAAAAAAAGGATGAAGGAAAAAGACAAGTAGAGGAGGGACTAGCAGGACTTACAGCAGGTCCCATCTCGCCATTACGTCCACGAGGTCCAGGAGGTCCAGTGGGTCCAGGAAGACCAGACATGCCATCCTTACCAGGAGAACCAGCAGATCCGGCAGGGCCCTGCAAAAAGCGTGAAACAATATCTAATTTAAAAATAACCAATGTTTGTAAAGTTACAGTTATAAGGGTATAACAGTTATAACCTGTTAAGAACTGCTGAATGGTAACTTACTCTAGGGCCAGCAGGGCCAGCAGCACCAGCAGGTCCAGCCTCTCCAGATGGTCCCTAAAAATATAAGGTTAGTAAGAAAATAATGTGACCTAGAGGTTGATTTGTTGTTGAACACCATTAGGAGCCAGTGAAGAATGAAAATGTTAGTCTATACAGGCGGAACAGGAAAGTTACATACAGGAGGTCCAGGAGGTCCCTGTTGACCAGTAAAACCTCTGTGTCCCTTCATGCCTCTCTCTCCAGCCTCTCCAGTTTCTCCCTTGTCTCCACGAGCTCCAGCAGGTCCCTGTCAGGATAAACAATCTATCTTACTTTTTTCTTTATACTCTTCAATTATTTATTATGGTGTAAATGTTTCTTACGGCGGGGCCACGAGGTCCAGCAGGGCCAGCAGCACCAGCAGGGCCAGCAGGTCCCTGAAACACAGAAACTTAAATTTAACTGTTGGCATACTGCAAAACATGCTAAATGTATAGTTTACAATATAAAGTAACTGAACCAATGAATAAATATGGTGCAGATTGTACTTACAGTCTCTCCGCGGTCACCAGTCTTTCCAGCTGGTCCAACAGGTCCAGGGGCACCAGGAGGTCCTGGGGCACCAGGGGCTCCGGCAGGGCCACTCTCTCCACGGTCTCCCTGTAGAATGAACAGAAAATGAAGTAACTTGGTCCTTTTTGAGGGCCAAAACTGAGCATGTGTTACTTAGGACATCATTTCTCAAACATTTAAGTACTACTGCTGGAAACAACAGAAACTTGGATATGATAGGTTTATATTACTGACTAAAGGGGTTTCTAGTTATTGTTATTTTGATTGTTTTTACCAGTTGGCGATATTGCTCAAAAAGAGCAAAAAGATAGGAGGCTAAGAAAAGTCTGTTGTAGCCAGTGGCTACAGACTTATATGTTCAACTGACAGTACTGTTCTAAATTTGGATTAAATAAGACGGTGCTTTTTTAGTAGAACTAGGCTGATATGAGATAAATTTGCACTTTATATGAATTGGGTCATATGTGCCATAAACTGACCTTGGGTCCAGGGGCTCCATCACGACCAGATGGTCCTTCTCCTCCTGGGGTTCCCTATGATGCAAAAGCAGTGATTCATATATCATCAGAACACTTTTACTCATGTATGTGTGGAAAAAAAATGACATAGAGCGCTACGGTGATCTTGGGGCTTCATCATACCTCACGCCCAGGCTCTCCAGGGGGACCTGCAAGACCAGGAGGTCCCATGGGTCCAGGAGGTCCACGTTCACCACCAGGGCCAGCGGGTCCTGGCTTTCCAACCTCTCCCTAATATAATTTTAAAAAAGCATATTACCATTTGTCTCCTTTATGACACTTAAATAGTAGGATATTAGATATGTATTGTGCTTTTTACATACAGAAAACATTTAAATTTTGGGTGGGGGTTGCTGATCACTAAAACATTCAGAGGTTAGAATAAAGGTATTTTAGCTATCTTTATGCAGTTACCTGAATAGGTTAGCTTAGATTTTTTTGTCTCTCTGCTAAATTGGTAATATTTCCGAGGCCGGGATATTACAGGCAAGATTGATATTAACTCACAGCAAGCCCAGCGGGTCCAGGGAAACCTCTTTCTCCTCTCTGTCCTGGCAGACCGACAATACCACGCTGTCCAGCAATACCTTGGGGTCCTGGGATACCAGGAGCTCCCTAAAGGATATGGAAAGAAAAAAAATAGAGATGAAGTTTAAAAACCAGAAAAATCAACAGTATATAAATCATATTAATATGCAGTTAAACAAATGAAGATAAGATTTTGTCATTTAGATATATTATTTTTCAGTCAGATATATTTGCTGGTTCTTTTGAAAGCCTGTTATGGAGAAGCTTACGTACCGCCGGACCCTCTGAACCAGCACTACCCTTCTCTCCGGGGGGTCCTGCTGGTCCAGCAGCACCAATCTCTCCAGGGCGACCAGCAGGTCCAGTCTCACCACGGTTTCCTTTGGGTCCTTCCTTGCCAGATGGTCCGGGAGGTCCAGGAGGTCCAGAGTTCCCCTACATTATAGAGATGAGGTTGATTCTGTCAGTGCTGAAATACCTGTACTCTTTAGTTCCAGGAGCACAAAGGGAAATAAAAAGCCTTACAGCAGGGCCAGGAGGTCCAACTCTGCCAGCAGCTCCAGGGAAACCAGTAGCACCCTAAGAATTAATTGTTATATGACTTTGGGAAAAGCTTTTGTAAGTCAATGCAAACAAAATATGTAACTAAAACTAACATGAGATCAACAAGGATACAGAGTAAAATAAGAGTAGTGACTCACTGGAGGACCAGCTGCTCCACGGGCTCCCTTAGGACCAGTGTTTCCAACGGGACCCTGGGAAGATATGACACAACCAGAATCAAAACTGTACAAATGTTTGTAGTTAATTACTACAAAACCAAAAATGTTATTAGATTACCTGAGGTCCAGGAGCACCAGTTGGTCCAGCAGGGCCTGGAGGACCAGCATCTCCCTTAGCGCCATTATCTCCAGGCTCACCCTTAGCACCAGGTTGTCCATCAGCACCCTGCAGTTAAATGGTGGTTATTACACCAAAAAGAAGTGATTGGAATGTGTCAATGCTGAAAGAAAGAAAGAAAGAAAGAAAGAAAGGAAGGAAGAAAGAAAGAAAGAAAGAAAGAAAGAAAGAAAGAAATAAAGAAAGAAAGAAAGTTGTGAGCAACTGAGCCTTACAGGAGCTCCAGCAAATCCAGCAGGTCCAGGGGGTCCGGATTCACCACGCTCACCCTGTTACAGATGGAGTACTGTCAGCAAGATTTTCAATAATAAGAAGGTTGTAGTAGAACTTGTTGGAGGACAACCACAAAGCCTGTACATACAGGGGCTCCACGTGCACCAGCAGGTCCGGGAAGTCCAGCGGTACCAGACTCTCCCTTATCTCCAGGTGCTCCAGCAGGTCCGGGAAGTCCGATTGGTCCAGTCAAGCCACGGGGCCCATCTTTACCTGGTGCTCCATCAGCACCCTTAGCTCCTTGGTCCCCCTTGATTATTGGATGAGGATAGCTTGTTAAAGAGGTTGTTAGCAAAATGAGGCATATCTATCATTGTAATAGAAATCTGTGTTCTAATACACCATTCAGGTATCATGGTGAAGGGAAGGACTCCTCCGGGGTGAGGATAGGACCAGTTACTGGCTAGTGTTTACTGCAGAGTCATTTCCAAGAGTTAAAAACATGTTCCTAATATTTTTTCCACTTCAAATTGAATTTATAATGTGTTACTATGAGAAAGAATGCGAGCAACATTTTAGAAAATCAATATAAAGGTTAGAACTGGAATAAATGTTAAAATCTGTTTTCTCCCATGCATCTTTCTGGTAACCCTGCACTGTGCTAATTAGGTTTTGCTAAAGCCAAACTCTTGCCAATGAATGTGTTTAACTTTTAGTTTACCTAACTCTTACTTGAGGAAATTCTACTCTTTCTAATAGATTAAACAACAGTATTTTTACTTTTTTTTAAGAGAACGACCAATAATCTTAGCAAAATGTCCTTTAGTCTAAATACATTTTACTGAGAAAAATGTCCTGTGTAGGCAGCTAATGAACATTGTGTCATCAATGTTCCAGCGTAAGTCTAAGGATTGTTTTGCTAGTGTGACATTAACTATTTCACAATGACAAGACAACAGACAAAAATCTAGAAAATCTGTCAAACATGGTCCAGGGACGTAATTCCAGTGAACTGGAGACAAAGCTGATGCAGGCTTTGAAAGTAACGGTGGGCCCCAAATCCAAGTGATAATATCTACAACCAAAGACCTAATTACTGGTTTTCAAATAAATATTTTAGAAACCAAGCTGGATTTTTTGGAATAGTGGACCACATACCACATGCTAGTCATAAAATAATTTCATATAGATTAATTTTATACATGATGAGATGTGGATGTAAATATTGAGAATGATGCATTAATAACTCACTCTATCTCCTCTCAGTCCTGGAAGACCAGCAGCTCCACGCTCACCAGGCATTCCCTGCAGTCCAGGGGAACCCATAGCTCCTGGAGTACCAGGGGCTCCAGGTTCTCCCTAATGACAAATGGAGGAAATCAAAGACTGGTTAACAGGTAGGCTTACTTGAACATTATTTTACTTAAAGTCACAAATGAATTAAATTACCCTTTACCTTAGCACCATCATTACCAGGAGAACCAGGAGATCCTCGGGCACCAGCAGGTCCAACAGGGCCAGGGGCACCACGTTCACCAGGGAATCCTCTGTCACCCTGAGGAGATCATGTGGAAGAAACTTAGGTAAGGGTCAAAATACACCATGTCACTGCTAAAGAAAACATTAGCCTGCTAGCCAACAAGCTAAACATGGCTAGATGCTAAAGTATTCTTTTACCCTATGAACAGGTGTAGAAAAAACAAAAAAACTCCAAAGACCGTTTTCTATCCTTCCAATTAGCTATGAAAACATTGATTAAAAAAGGCTTACTCTTTGTCCAGCAGGTCCCACAGCTCCAGGCTCACCAGGCAGACCCTAGATAAAAGATAGCTATGAGAAGGGTGAACTTCTGCTTAGAAGAATTTTTTAAGGTTAACTTCTATCTGAATATGCACCTGCTCTCCAGGTTTGCCACTCTCACCAACGGCACCCTGAGGACCAGGAAGCCCTTGGAATCCAGGGGCTCCTGAAGGTCCTGTTTCTCCTCTCTCGCCAGTAGGACCCTGGCGATGGACAAACAGACATTTTTGCAACATTAAGCAATGTGTCATGCAAGTACTGTAGAAAGGGTAGTAAAGCAAACTATACAGGTGTTCCTTACAGCTGGTCCTGGAGGACCCTGAGGACCAACATCACCATCCTTTCCAGCAGCTCCCTAATGCAAAAGATTGCAGGTTTTAAAACTGAGAGATACACCCTATCTAAATGACAAGAATGCCTTTGAAAAAAATCAAATGTGAATAAAATATGGGTTCTTTACAGCAGGGCCAGTGGGTCCCATTACTCCTCTTTCACCGGGCTTTCCAGCCTCACCCTAGAGAAGTACAAATAAAAGAAGCCATGTGTTGAAGATTTACTTGCAGCATATGTCAGTGAGCTGACAGTGTCAATCTTTTCAAACAACACTCACAGCGGCTCCCTTTAGTCCAGGGAATCCCATGACTCCAGGTTGACCTCTTGCTCCAACAGGTCCAGGGGGTCCAGGGCGTCCATCTTGTCCAGGGGCTCCCTGTGTAGAAAGTTTGACCATGAATTAACTTTACTTCAGCAGCAAGATGTAAGCGGTTTGATGGGGAATATGCAGGGCATAAACCTACAGGAGCTCCCATTTTGCCATCAGGTCCAGGGTTGCCAGGGCTGCCAGTCATACCCTACGGAACAAGGATTGCAGATCAGATGACATGGTCAACATGTCAAACTGGTAAAAGCAGAGAGGCCAAACAATGATTTATTTGTACCTTAGCTCCAGGGAGACCAGGCTCACCAGTGCGGCCAGGCTCACCGGTGGAACCTTTAGGTCCAACAGGACCAGGAACACCACGCTCACCATTTACACCCTAGAGTCAGGAACAGGAAGGAATTTGACAATAGGAACTTGCTATTTAGTTGTTTTAATCATTCAACATATTAGATGGTGTTTGATTGTGTGATTTACTTTGGGTCCAGCCGCGCCATCGGCACCAGGAAAACCGCGACCACCTGGGGCACCCTATAGGCAGAATTAAACAAAATAATCAAAATAAACCTGGAAGGAATTTTTTCATACTTTGGCTACATGTTTACAGCACCACCCTCTGGTGGAAGCTGTTCAAAACAGGATTAAAGCAGAAGTAACTCCTCATTGCAAAAAGAGGTTTCTAAAAACAAGAATTGAGTACTAAATCCGTTTGAAATGGTACTCAAAACTAGAGAAATATGTCCATGTTGCAACATTATTAGAAATCACAGGACTGTTAATCAGGGCACTTACAGATAGAAATTACCTCCTTAATTAAGATAAATTATCCAATACTTCTAAACCTGTTATGTAATTTATCTTAGTAGACCCCCCCTACCCAAAAAGGTTGAGAAAATCTGTTGTGCTCTATAAGGGGCCATACTTATTTATAAAAGAGCAGTTTGACCCCTTGTACTGTATAGGGGAGAGAAAATTGAATTGGCTCAGTGTGTTGTTTGTAATTTTGACACAAAGGGCACTGAAATATCAACAAAGATATAAAGATTTATAGTTAGAAATGCAGAAATAATATGAATTGTATTCTGTTGTATTCTCAAAAAATACAACAGAAACACATTTAGAATTAGTGCATACACGTTCTCCAGGTGCTCCACGAGCGCCCGCAGCACCAGGTTCTCCTCTGGCTCCTCTCTTGCCTTCCTCACCAGCAGGTCCTGGGGGTCCCTGAGCACCTGGGGCACCCTGGAAAAAAACAAAATAAATTAGATCAATGGCTAAATATATTGATTATATATTAAAAACTTTGTTGTATTTGTGAACTTACAGACTCTCCCTTAGCACCAGGCTCTCCCTTGAATCCTGGGGCACCAACTTCACCCTAAAAGACACATTAAAATTTAAACAACATATACAATTTACCAACAAACTACGGTTTTTATTAGACAATAAATAAATCTCTGTTCATTGTTTCCCTTTCTTTCAATATCAAACAGTTAATGAGGAAACATTTCTTTTTGTAGTCAAATGGGAAGCTCTGAGTTGTGTCTTAAGAACTCAACTTACAGTGTTTCCCTTGGGTCCAGGAGCACCAGCTGCACCCTGAGGTCCTGGGGGTCCACGTGGTCCAGGAAAACCAGGAGCACCAGCAACACCAGGGGCACCCTGCAGGGGTCAGCACACATTCACATAAGAGTTGTATCTTCATGTATGGGCTTGACAGTGCTTTCTGACTGAAACTACTGTTAAAGCAACACAGGTATGAGCTTTTAGGAACTCTTAAATTTATGGGTAGATAAAGGTAAATGCACAACGCAAAAACTTACAGGGCCTCCTTTAGCACCAGGCGCACCATCAGCTCCAGGGTTTCCCTAAGAGGAAAAGAAAAATTAAATAATTTCAAATCACATATTTACATTTATACATTCTAAATTGAATTATATATATATATATATATATATATATTATATATATATATATATATATATATATATATATATATATTATATATATATATATATATATATATATATATATATATATATATATATATATATATATATATAAATATTTTTTTTTTTTTTTTTTTTTTTTCATTTTGCTTTAAATAATCAGCAGATATTTAATTTGGTCTTGATTAAAGGTTCCATGTAACTTTTATTAACCTCAAGTTAAGAGCCTAATACTTACGGATGGTCCAGCCTGGCCAGCGGGTCCAGGGTTACCAGGTTCTCCACGGGCTCCAGCAGGTCCCTCAGGTCCACGTGCACCCTGTGCTCCAACATCACCCTGGGTGGATAGAAAACAAGAACCAGAACCACAACCAGTTAGTGGTTTAGTAGAACTTCAATCCAATTTTCAATTCAAATGTATTCATTTAGGTAGACCTCTTCATGGAGAATTAGTTATATATGCCGATCGGATGATTTTAGGCAAAATCTTACCTTGGGTCCTGGGCCACCTGGAAATCCAGGAGGTCCAGCAGGGCCAGTGGGACCCTGAAAGCAGACAAACAAAACTTGAACAAAACCAGCTCATCCTTTTATGTTGGTTCTAACTTATGTTACACAGTAAAGCTCCTTTAATTTAGCAGATATAGAAAAAAAGCAGTGTGTTTTATTTTTTATTCTCAGATTTGAGCTGTAATAAAAATGGCCATTTTTAAGTTAGGTCAACTGCCAGAGCATCTAAGGCATACCGGAGGTCCAGCAGCACCAGCAGCACCATCGTTACCACGAGCTCCCTGGTTGAGACACACAAAAATGGTTGGTTGGTGCTTGTTCATAAATTGGTCAATAATCTATATAACATATTGCAGCTGTGATTGTGTGTGAACTCACAGCAGCTCCTGGAGAACCAGCACGACCCCTCTCACCAGGCAGACCACGAGGTCCCTTTAGGAAAACAGTTTAAAATGCATTTATCTATCAGTCAAAGGGAAGTGGTCAAGGACAAGCAGTTCCAGCATAAAAAGCTTCCTCTTTCACTCACCATTGCACCAGGAGTTCCATTTTCACCAGGGGCTCCAGCCTCACCCTTAAATGAGAACAAAGACAGAGAGAGAATGTTAAAGGACATAAACAAAACACTACATCTAAATTGATAAACAATCTGACCAATCTAACAAATTATTATGAGCAGACAGGCTGCTAAATTGAGATACCCAGTAAAACTAGAATTCTTTCGCCTTTTGTTTTACCTTGCACTAAATATTTAGATCACCATTTAGTAACCTTAGTTCTTAGTCACCTTAAGCTGATATGGACTTTTGTCTATTTGGGGGAAATGTTTGATAACCTCTTTGTAAATGAAGCCTAAAAAACTAAGAGACTGCAAATATGTAAATCTCTTCAATGAAAGCTATTGAAGGTAATATTGTACTTTGATTCCAACAGGGCTAAAGTTATCCTTTCAAGAATTTCAAGAAAACTTTAATAGAATAAATATAATAGAATTAAACTTAATTGTCATTACACTGTCAGAAGTACAGAGCCATGAAATTAACTCTTTGCATTTATCCCATCCCTTTGTGGAGCAGTGGGCTGCGAATGTGCAGCGCCCAGCGAGCATTGTGGGGTTAAGGGTCTTGCTCAGGGACACAGATTGGCAGTCTGTGGGAGTGGGGCTCGAACTCAGAACGTCTAGAATCCCAGCACAATGCCCTAACCACTCGGCTGCACCTCCCCATTGACACAAAAAGGACTAATGGATTGAAAAATGTCTTATTATCAAAGTATGAACGAGTGTTCAGAATTTAGCGAACCCAACTGCAATTGTTTTACAGTTTAACCAGGATATTGAGAAATAAAAGACAGTTTTGCATTCCCTGTTAACAAAGCAAAAAATTAGTTAATGTGGTTGGGTATGATCATATGGTTTAATCAATGCTGACCACACATGTGTTTGTTTAGGCTAACTTTGGACAGGAAGGCTTCTAATAGTTGGCATCATTTTTGATCCCACTAAAAGACAAGGACCAGGCAAACTTAAACTGTCATAAAAAGATGCCTGCTGACAGCCAGTGTTTGTAAAAATCTCTGACTAAGGGTGCCTCTGGTGGTTACCAGAGATAGCAGGATTTGACCCAGGAATATCTTATTGTAGCACCAACCAGGTTATTCCCAACTGACTGTTAAAAAAAACCTTGGCTATCAGTAGATACATAAACATACAGTAAATGACAAAATAAAGGGTAATGAATGTCTTGTATATTGTTACAATATGCTTTCAGAAGGACCCTGGCAGAAAACTAACAAAACAACCTAAAGCTAGAGAAAAGATTCTGGCTTATTGATCAAGACCACTTCAAAACCACACAAGAGTTACATCTTCATGTATGGGTTTGACAGTGGTTTCTGACTGAAACTATTAGCTGCCGGCAGTGGTTAATGACATGAGGGTATTAGACTGAGAGGAATTAGAAGCTGTCAAAAGACTTACTTATATTTTATATATTGAAACCGTCAATTTGTGTTCCAAAGTGTTTTGCAAATACACTAGTTTTTTTTTTTTTTAACATTCAGCCAAGCTCAAAAAGTTGTTTTTTCTCAAAATACTATTAAATATTTTCTTTTATTGTCTATGCTTTAACAAGAGTTTGATACAGAAGGATTAGGATATAAGCCTTAGAAGATTTGTCTACATACACAAAATCACAAAAAACGGCAGTTTCATTGTAAAAGAAAAATAAGAAAAGACTGGTGCCTTCAAAACTTTTAATAAATACTGTTAGAGCCATATGAGCTCTGTTTTTGGGGATAAAATTCCTAACATCTCTAAATAATATATCTTCATCTTTGCTTTCAGTTATTTCTGTCAAATAATATTCCTTCATTTCCTATTTCTAATGACTAGGGATTCATGATACATGGCTGATGTTAGTTATTTTGTTTTTTAAAACATCAGTATTGGCTCCATCAGTTAAAGTTGACCAGTATCAACAGCTTATGTTCGTGATGCATTTGTGTATGTGTTTCATGTAAAAAAAAGTCATGTGATATTTGTTTTTGCATGTGAAATTGATATAATAATTGAGTATTTTGGGGTGTTTGTCTGAGGCAGAGATGTCAGCTGTGAAGTCAGTTTTACATGGGATCAAATGGATAGGACAATACATATGAGGACAGGTATTGATATTATTCATAGCAGCAATATTAGTATTTGGTCTCATCAGTACATCAGTGTCAGCTCCATTAAGGGCCATATACTTGCAGTATTTTCACTACTGGATTAAGCTCTAGAGATCAAATTTCAACCATTCTGTAATCATACTTATTACTTTATTTCTTAAATCAGCTCTGTTTCCAGTCTAGCTACCTTTGCATCACTTCAAATGGCTATTTTGACACCACATGAAAAATTTTTTATATGTGAAGAACCAATCACCTTGGGTCCTGCAGGACCAGTGTCTCCCTTAGCACCATCCAGACCACTGAACCCCTGAAGAGAAAAATAGTCAAATCAATATGAGCTTCATGAGTTGCTTTTGCTCAGGGTTTTGGAAGAGTAGGATCATAAAACAAGGCTTAACTTACTCTGTGACCCTTAATGCCAGGAAGTCCGGGAGTTCCTGGGAAACCACGAGCACCCTAAAGCGAAGACAGGGATGGTTTAAAGTTAACTGCTTGGCTCTTAGCTTTTGATTTACACCAAGTATTTAAAAACACATTTCACAGGTTATGTACCTGTGGTCCGGAAGGTCCACGTTCACCTGGGCGACCAGGTTTGCCAGCCTCCCCCTGAAGACAGATTGAGATAAGGAAAAAATACATTGCTTCTTTAAGCTTTCAATCTAAACTATCCTTTATATGTGCACCAAAATATACAAGCAGATCACTTACGTCCTCTCCGTTCTTTCCAGAAGGTCCCGCAGGTCCACGTGGACCCATGGGGCCCTAAAAAAAGACACAGTTAGTCTAACTACAGAGAAGTTATAATTAAAGATGTGAATTTATTTTCAACACTCACAGGAGCTCCAGCCTCTCCAGGCTCACCAGGTGGGCCACTGGGTCCTGGGGATCCCTGTAAGGACAGACAGTAACCCAAATATCATCAAAAGTCTAACTACCATTTATTAAAAGTGCTGATCTAAATTATAGAGGCTATAAAAAATAACTCAAGGCTAAGCAGGAAAATAATTTCTGCTTATAAAACATTTGTCTAATTTACTTAGCTACGAGGTTGGCCTATCAGTTTGGATTAAAGCTGAATTGATTGTTAGCATGTTGCAAGTTAAATACATATCATTAACAGGGATGAAAAAGCCAACAGTGAGTGGTTCTGATTTGGGTTGTCATTTCAACCACCATGTATTGACTGTACAAATTTCTAAACCAACTTTGATAGATCAAGCTGGGGCTAACAAATATAATTTATGTAGGATGAGAATGAGAATTAATAAATTATCAATTTTGAAAACACCAATGCAATGAGACAATCAGTGTTAACATTATATTTGTTTCTCTAAAAGGAGGAAGGTTTTGCACTTACAGCAGGACCAGGAGGTCCGGTAGATCCACGTGGTCCCATTGGACCCTGTTAGGCAAACATGGAAGAGATTAGAAACACCAACATCTTAAAACACAAGGACAGAAATAGAAACCTCTTTGAGTGCGCATGTCTTACCATTGGTCCAGGCACAGGCATAACAGTGGATTTTGAATCATAGCCACCAGACATCTGTGGGGAGAAGTTCTAAAACACATAAAGAAAACAGACATGTCGTTTTAGACATCTGTATCCATTTAACGTCTTATACCGATTCACCGAGAGCAATGTTTGCCAAAAACTTTCATACAGCTTATTAACAAAACCAAGAACTAGCCCCAATCTACACATTTAGTGGGGATAATTTTAATTAATATTTAACAAGACCAAAACAATTTAAAAACTATAAAAAATTTGGCCTGTTGAGGCTGATCAATGAAATAAAACAGATGTTAGCTGTTAACTTAGCTAAGCATGGTGCAAGTTATGACATGGCTTGAAGTTAGTGACACTAATTATAACAGATCTTCTAGTAGTTACTAAGTATGTAAAATATAGGGATGGAGGTAGATAAATAAAGTTCTATTTAAAATTGAAAAAGGAAGCTAGCAATGTTATTATTCCTAATCTATCAAAACCTTATGGTTGAGACAAAATTTAAGATTTTGTTCTAGCCTAGTATAATGTTGCATTGAGTCATCTAGCACACTTAGCAAGACAGAAAATGTAATTTATATAAAATTTCCAAGCTTCAATAGAAATCTACAATACGGTAAATGATCTTGGGCCTTGAAGATTGATTGTTTACACAAGGTTAGATTGTAAATAAAGCCCAGCAACTCATAGATTTTGCTCCAGGTTTTCTTATGCTTTTGTGCAATTTCCAGTTATACTTGAAAATGTAATTTGCACTGATATAAAAAATAGATAATAATAATAATAATAATAATAAAAATAATAATAATAGAAACAATATTGAGAATGCAAAAATAAACTTTGCATCCCCTTCTCTACAAATTAACTCCTCACCATGACATATCCTGAAGCAGAATTCAATATGAAACACTCATTTTTGAGATCAGATCAGACTTACATGCCAACTCTCCAAAAGTAATTCAGTTTCATACTAAATGAAATACCACAAGGCAACTTGGAATTTCAGGAAATCCTTTTTGCAACTTTAGGTCTTCTCAAATGTTAAACATAAGAATACAAGCACAACATGGCGGCTCACAAATGTGATTTTTAAAATGTTTTTTGCAAAAGAAATAAAGAATTTTTTTTTTATGGTATTACCAAGTTTACGGAAACATATAATGTGATTGGTGTCACCGGCCTAGATTGGCTCATAATTCCCCATTCTAAACCCAAAACTAGTAAAAACAGAAAATTATGCAAAGAAAAAAAAAAAAAAAACATGACAACTTACTCCACCGAGGCCAGGGGGTCCAGGAGGGCCAGGAGGTCCTGGCAGTCCAGGCTGACCGTCAAGACCATCTCGACCTGGAGGACCAGGAGGACCCTAGAGAGAAAGAAAGTAGATTTCAAAATCGTGGCAAGAGTGTCATTTGAATTACTATTATTGATGCCATGATCAACTAATGGAAATACAGAAGGCAAAGTTTTCCTTTTTGAGTTTCCTGAAAACTATTTTTTGGAACAGCTTTTTAAAATTCCATAATAATCGTAATAGTCTGTGTAAAAGCTTGTCATCTTTAAAAAACAAAACTTGAAATATCCCAAAATCTCAGTTTGCTTCTTTACACTAATCACCGCATAATCAGGCACAAAAACAGAGGCTGTGGTCATGTGACATCAACATACAGGAAGTAGATGTGCCAAGTCTGCAAAGCATTTATTTAAGCTATTTCACAATAATTACAGTAAGATAATATTGCCAACATATATATGTGCTTGTTCATTTGCATAACTAGCTGCTAGCTTGCCACAAAACTAGTTAGCTGCATAAAAACAACAAAATAATAATTTAAAATCATTTATTCAAAGATTTTAGAAGTGCACACAATAGCCCATTATGATCGTATGTTAAGGACCAACATTTATTGTTCTATAACCTATCGTTCCATAATATATTCTGATGGTAATTTTTTGGAGCAAAAAGCCAGCCCTTTCCCTTAACATGCTAAAAATACGTTTGAGTAAATAAACCCAAGTCTTATTTTGTTAAATAAAAATGACAAACACATCTATGTTATGTACCAATATTTTGTTAATGTAACTAGTAATGTTTTTTGCATTCAGGTAACTTGCTTACTATTAATAAAGGTAGAAACAGATGTAGTAAGTGCAAATGAAGCTTTTAGTGCAAATTTCAGGAGGGACTATATTAAAGTACAAACATTCAGTTAACATGTTACTAAACCTGCACTGTTGGAGACTTTTTCAATGCCATATTCTCACTATCATTGGAAAAGAACACATGAAGAAACCTCTTCTGCATTGTCAATAAGGTATTTTGGCTCCAACTTAAGGACATAGGAATCTGGTCAACGTGCCTGAACTTATACACACTGACAAGATTTAAAGCTGTGGATCGAGCAAATCCAGAGAAAACAAAATTATAAACATACCCTTTCTCCCTTGGGTCCACGTTCTCCTCTGGGTCCCTGTTGGCAAAACCATCAAAACTGGTCTTCATATAATAATATGAAAACTGACACACAGAATTATACGTCCATGATGCTGTTCTACTACATATCATTAGCGTGTGTAAACAACAGCAAAAAAAAAATAAAACTTTTACTTTTTATTCAATAAATACTAGTTAATCTCAGTAAAGACTGTTTATAACAAAACATTTTTTTACAGCTCCTAAAACACCAACAGTTTTTTTTTTATCTAATCTGAACAATTGATTTATTGATATCAATATAAATAATTTCACATTTACCTCAACCTGAGTAGAGTGGTAGCCTGAAAAGAAGAAACACAAAATTTGGAATGTACAATAAAACAATATATAAATTTAGCAGATAAAAGAATTATTTATTATAATGATAGTCGGCCTAAATTTAGATTAAGCAAACCTCTAATGTTGTTTAATCTTTTTTAAAAGATGAATTAATAAAATTTGTTTTGGAACTTTGCAAACGGTGCAATGTATAGCGTAAAGGTTCAACATTTCATGAGAATCATGCAAACACTTGAAAATAAAGCTGTAGTACCATCATCGGGGCAAACGGGGCAGCACTCGCCCGTAGGTACAATGGGGTTGGGGCAGTCAGCTGGCTCTTCACAGATAACCTCATCGCACAACACAGTTCCGCTGTCACACACACAGATTTGACATGGCTCTGGTTTCCACACGTCCCGGTCTGCAAACACCTGGCCTCCAAGGGTGCAGCTGGCACCTGTACCTGAGGGGCGGCAACAGAGAGAAAGACACATATGTAGTAGTCAGAAATATAAATTTTAAAACCTATTATGAAGATAGATTTACTTAATTAAAGTTTGATTTATTTAATTAATTATTTTACCAGAGAATAACTTAAGATTCAATGATAATTTAATTAACTTGTAGATATTGTGACATCAGCTTTCTTCATCCATTTAGGAAGAAAAAAAGTTTTAGAAAAGAAAAGAAATATATCTTTGCTATTCCAGGATGGAATCTTTTATTTAACAAAGTGCTTTTGACAAAAAACTTTTGGCTGTTCATAGATGTGAACAGGAAAGAGACCAACGGATCAAGGGTGACTGAGAGGTTACAATCTACCTATGTGTCAAGATCTATCTAACTGTACAGCAAGCCATAGCTAAAATTTCCACCTAAAATATTTTCAGTCCTAGTTCTGCTTTCAGAGGAGATATAAATTTTGCGGCATGCCAAAGCGCTGAGCTCAGAGAAGGCAAAGCACTAGGGCCAAAGACTGCTAGTTTGGCAGAGGCTGGTGGAAACTCTGCACATGTGTTTGCAATCAAAGGAAGCCAGACAAAAAAAAATGAGCGGAAAGAAAGTGGAGAACAGTGTAGGAGGGGAATTGACGTGGCAGCCAGATGTTACTGGATGCACAGAGGAGCCTATGGGTGTCGCTATAAGTTCACTCTCAGTCTCACAGCCGATCTGCTTCAAATAGACAGCTGAGTCCTTTCCAGATAAGAGGAACATCTGGAAAACTGAATATCAACTCCATGGTCCCTCTCCCAAGATTTGATTTGGTTTTCTTTGTCTTCTCAGATGATAACAGTTTTATGTTCCTTTCTGATGGCTTTTCAGTAGCAAAGCATTGTTGTAGGTTTATGTACGTAAAAGTTGTTTATATCTATCCACCAGGCAAGACTAAACCTGCTTCTCCCCTCCTGATTTTCCTTAGCATGTGACTCCCTTGTTCTTACTGAATCAAGGGCTGTGAATAGCACTGCCACTTCGATCAGGCATGAGATAACTTTTACGTAAATCTAGTGGAAATCTGGAAGCAATGTAAAACTGATTAAATGGGAGAAACAATTTTTTAAATTTTATGAAGGCTCTGTACATGTCATCTGTGCATTGACTTATTCCACTGATCTGGAGAAAAGTAAAAAAAAAAACTTGCAGCAACTTGCTCTGCATGCATTGGAAAAGTGGGGGAGTACTAGATGAGAACAAAGAGGAGGAGGAGAGAGTGAGGCCTTTTTGAGATGCCCGATCGATTACGCACACCCTGTTCTGTCTATTGTACAGACTACCAACCTTCAGAGATCTAATTTTTAAATTATTTTGCATTCTCCTCTTCTCTTTCTAAGATCTCAGCCGTCCAGCCATTAAGAAGAAATCCATCCTTTTTTTAATGAAAAGGGAGAAAAGTGTTGAGAGGCTCCAACAAACTGATGAAACTTACGGTCGTCCTCGCCCTGCGCCCTGACCAGGAGCACCGTGGCGCCAAGCAGCAGCGCCAGCCGCAAATCCACAAAGCTGAACATGTCTAGATGCCACCAGACATGTAGACTCTTTGAGGCAAAAGAGGAAAAAAGTTGGGGATGTTTTCTCTTTCTGCTACACTCCACTCATACAGGGGTGTTTGGGGCAGGATCCGTGCGTCTGTCCAAAGTCCTCCTGACCCCAGCAGAAAACTCCCTACTGCCTGCACTCATTTTCCACAAGGGCTTTTATATGGGAGCCCAAAGAACTGGGAGGTACTGGGACAGGACCGACTAAGGGGGGGTGCACCCTCATTAGCCCGTTGCTGCTGCTCACGTTTAGGGAAGACAAGAAAGAACATCTCCTTCAAAGGGAAAAAAAAAAAAATAGAAGGAGAAAAAGCATGTCCCTCCTTCCATAATTGCACAGCATGCCTGGATCTGAGGAAGGAGGGGTTTGAGCAGGGGGAAACTTGATCCATATGATCACTGGAGAGGCAGAGGAGGATTTCCATCTTCAGTAACCCTGCTTTTAATCTAGATTTCTGTTTGGTTGTGATTCACCTTCTGATTTACTTGGATTTCATGCTATTTTCAGTTCGGACTGCCTTGTACATTGTTTTATGGAGATTTAACCCATAGAAGAGTGTAGTTTCAACTGTCACTGCTTTAAGATAGCCTAAATATGGGAAATTAGCCTGTGTTTCTTTTTCACATTACCTTGATTCACAATTCACAAACAATCATCATCTTACATTTATCTGATTAGCATCTTTGGGTGATCCAATTTAAATTTGTTTTAACTATATTTTTGTATTAAAAACTTAATTTGCAGCTAGAAGACTTTGAAAATACTCTCTGGCAATATATATGAGTGATAAGTCTTTCTTTCTCAGTGTACCTTGATTAATGGACAACTAAACATGTCTTGAAATGCATCAAAAAGGTTCATTTGTAACCGCCTATTAACAATAAAAGATCAGATTAGGTCAGTGAGTCAAGAGTGTAGTGGCATTGATGGATAATGACATATATTTATTTACCTTGCATTAATCTGAAAAATCTTTTTCACCATACAATACAAAAATGAGAACAAGATGTCATAACATCTGATGCAATGAATCATTGTATTTATCGTTAATTTGGGCAGGAAAATAAGATGATCTGCTAATGGAATACCCTTTACTCTTAAAAGACGATAATTAGATATTATGCACTTAAAATAAGAGAATGCAATGGTTGTATTTTTGTTAATTTAAAGTTAATTGTCTTGAACCATTGCCATTCTTTTTTTTCAAGAATCCTGAGCAAGATTTGTCTCTTCCAGAGGATTGGTGAAAATTAGAGTCTGTTTTGCTTCACTGCTGATACAAAATAAACCGCTATAAATCTTTCCCTGAGCTCAAATTAGATTAAACATATAAGAACTGTGTTGCTACACCTATGTGCATGTTTAATTTGCTTCCTCTTGAACAAAAAATGACCGCCTGAGCATTCCAAACATAAACATTTATAAGGTTTTCCCCCAAACAGCAGGCAGCTTTTTACCCAGTGACCTCCAAATACAATGTCTTAGGAGGGGTTTTGTGAAAGACCGTTCAGAATTTTATTTTAAAAGACATAGTTTACATCATTATGTACTCTTTAATTTAGGCCATCAGCTTTCAAACTAAAACAATAAAAGAAAACTGCACATTTCACTGCTTTATTTTGATGCCTTTTTACCAGAAACTTAGTCCAGAGGGTATAAGCCAGTGCCAAAAAATTTCTCAAAGGCGCTGCCAGTCCATATTTTATAATCTTAGCGTTTTAATCACCTAAACCTTCAATTACATTTGCTTTCCTTCTGTTTTACCAAGCTTCCGGATCTTTTCATTTCTTTTACACAACATTCTTTAAGTTTTTAGTTTTCAGAATTAGACCTACTGTAATAATCGCAGAAGGAAATTACATTGAATTACAATTGAATCTGAACCAACAATTAGACTGTTTTGTATACTCATTCATTCCCTTTAAGCTTTTTTACTTATTTATTTTTTATTTTATTTATTTTTTAGAATTATTAACATAAAAAAATGCTTGATTACAATTTTAATGTGGTTGTTCGATTAGCAGGATTAATCAGTAATCACTTTGGGTGCTCATTGTCAGCTTTACACATCTACTTTACATTAAGTTTTTGTTTTTGAAAAAATAACTGATGCGAACACGCTTTGATTTTACAATTCTTGTAAGTAACTTTAGAGTTGTGTCCCTGCGAAAAGGTAGGTTCTAAACGTTTTTTTTTCTCCAATTAAATCGGACAAGGTTCCCTGTCTGGATAAAGAAAAGCATCCCAACAGCACGATGCTGCCACCATCATGTTAATAGTTTTAATCAGACACCCAACTTTGGCTGCTGTCCGTCTGCATACTTTTTTCTCAGTACTACTATTTTAACATATTCTTACTAGTATTTTTAGTATAAAACATCAGAGGTGGGTCGAAAATCCAAAGACTGTACTCAGTAAGAGTAGCACTACTTTTTACTCAAATGTAAAAGTATAAAAAAAAACTTATTCAAGAAATGACTTAAGTAAAGTAAAAAAAGTATTTGGTAAAACGGGTACATGAGTACTAAGTTATTTTTGGATACTACCATCTGATTAGAAATGATGCAGACAATCTTTTTGTACAAGTTTAGGTATTTTAAAGACTCAAATGCATAAAAATACATTAAATGTGATTAGGGTGACCAAACGTCCGTATTTCCTGGGACATATCCTTATTTCACGTCCTGTCCCGGGCGTCCCGGTTTTTTTTTAGAAAGTGAGGAAATGTCCTGATTTTTTAAATTACCTTAATCGGACCATTACATTTACAGGCGCTAGGGCACTGCGCACGACACTGCGTGTGATGTAATCCCTGAGCCGCGTCAGTGCGGGCAGCCCTGTTCTTAATCAGAATATAGATTGCGTGGCTGTCAGTACGCCAACAACATGCAAAAGCGCAAATGTATGTTTACCGCCGATTTACAAAAGAGTTTCCCCGCTTTCAGACCGGGTCGAGACAAATGGGAGGCCTTGTGCACATATGTCTCGGTGTCCAATGGAGTTGCAAGGGATCTGAAAAGCCACCTGGACTCTGAAAGTAAAGATAGTCTAATGATATGTTTGTTCGTTGTTGGTACATTTTGAATAATTTTTGCTACACAACAGGTATTTTTTGTTAATTAGCTCATTTGTTAATTTATTTTTTCCAAAAGCCTACAGAACAGACATTATTTAATTCATTACTGAGGCTGAGTATCATGTGTTATTGGGAATTGAGAGTTATTGTTAAATTTTATTGTTAAGTGAGGGATGTTTAGATGATACATTATTTCTTTCATTGTGCTTTTCATTCATTACAGGAATTGTTAAGCATTTTTAATAAATACATTTTGAATGAAATTATCGTTTGTTATTGGAGTTATTGCTGTAGGTAGGTCTATGTTAGGTGAGTGCATGCCAAATCTCTATGCATAGGAACAGAGATCCCAACCCAACCCTTTTGTCCTTACTCTGCCACATAAACAGTTCCTGCAAACCAAAATAAAAGTAGCAGCTCATCAACAATAATGCTTCCGCCAACCGGGGAAACTGCTTTTGCTGGCCATGCTAATTTTAAGCAAAAGCACCGGAGCGCCGGAGATATGGCGGTCTGACGATGCTAGCTCAGGAGAGTGGAGAAGGACAGCTGAAGATTGATGGAACCCGCTTTTAGACAGCGAGCTAGGGTGGGAGAGGGGCCTTGGCTGACTGGTCTCTCTGCTGGAGGTGGCACCAAAAATCAGTCCTTCGAGGGTTGAATTAAAAGCTTTAATAAAAGCCACACATTTTCTCTGAAGAACATTCCGCATTTCATTGACTGCATTTTTCTCTATTTTCAATTTTATAAAAAAAAAACGTGTTCACTATTTTTTAGGACAGCTGAGATGAGGCCTCCCGAATACCAGAAATCATGTAGATGTTCTGGTTGGTTTATCATAGCGTTGATTTAGTCCAGAAACAGTTTTTGAAAAATAGGCTGCGTTTGGTCGGTCTGATTTTGTCCTACAGCAATCCAACAATAGATGTTGAAAAGAAGCTTTCAAACCCAGTTTTCAATGACTTTTCAACGATCTGAAAGTTACGGCTTTTCACCTTTCACTTTTCAAACAAATGTAGATTGGCTTGGAAGTAAATCATGTCGTCTTTTCAATGTCTGTAGTGTAGTTTTATATAAAAACAAAAAATACAGTATATATGGCTTGTACATTTTCTCCATCAGTAATAATGGCTTAATAATTCCCCTTTATAAACAACTGTTGCTGACTGATGTGTCATTTAGCTTTTTATTTTATTTCTGTTTACAGGAACTGTCTTCCACACCTAGAAGGAACTGTCTTCCACACCTAGAATTGCGTGAATGTTTCACGCAATTTCATGTCCAAAAACCTGGACCATATTCATAAAAAACCACTATTATTAGCATGATGTAATTAAAAGTGTTTTGTTTGTTACATAAAGGTATTAGGTATGTGGAGAGGTTATTTGGTTTGGTTCCATTTTCTCCATTGGAGACATTTTTTTTTTTACATTTGGATACTTTTTGATATGTGTTCTTGGATTAGTGACATTGTGTTGATCAGATCAGAGCTGGAAGTTGAATCACAGAATGATGAGGTGGCGTTCTTTTTTTCTTTTTTCCTGCTTCTCTTTTGCCCTGACAGACAAACTGCATTCCACCGTCTTCTGTGACAGAAAAAAAAGAAAAGGCACACATGGATAATGTGAAGGTTTCTACAGTGTGTGTGTGGTGGGTGTGAGCATAACAGAGAGAGAGAACGAGGAGGAGGAGTGAATTAGAAGCTTACTTGGCGAGCGTCAGACTATACTACGTGTCTGCTGCTGCAGGATCAGATGGTAGAAAGCTGCTGCTGTGTTTCTCCCTGCAGCTCATCTGCTCCCTAATGTCTGCTCCCTGCTTAATTACAGCTCACCTGCAGCCAGTCAGGCGCTGCAGACAAAGTTATGGGTGGGGGTACAAAAGAATTGCCTAGGTAAACCTTGAGTTACACTTAGGGGAGATGTGCTGCAACAAAATAAACGGCTTTGATTATTTTAAGCCAATAATAACTATAATATCAACAGACCTCTGAACAGTGCAGGGATTTCCTTGTATCTATCTCTATCTGTACCTCTGAAAACTGTGTTGCTTTGTATTCCACTTACAGATAATAAGCTTAGGAAAGAACAACACATAGCAGAATGGTCAGAGGTAAGCAGGGACAGGCTTACACATTATGACCTCTGTCCATTTTCTGAAAAGGAAGCAGTATGGTTTAACTGTCACTTTGAACTGACAAGAGAGCATTAATGTTACATTAACAAATCATGTGATGGATAACTAGAGAAAAATGCACAGATCAACATCTCATTTGGGAAAAGTGGCCTTTAAGGAAAAGTAGCAGGAAGAAAGTCATTGAATAAAGAAAGTCATCCAAAGTCCAGCTTGTAGTTTGCGAAAAGTGAACATGTTGTTCTGGTCAGATGAGAGCAAAATCTGAGCAAGGTTGTTTAAAAAAACTCAGACTGGGGCAGATGTTCACCTTCCCGCATGACAACAACTCAAATCATGTAATTGTAATAATTTTCTACATTTAGGTATTATAAGGTATTGATTCAAGTACTATTTAAGGATTTTCAAGATCAGTTTTCAAGCTTTTCCAGTACATTAACTAGTGGTGTTTTGGCCTGCCGGTGCACTGGTGTTGTTCATTGTTTGGGGGTGGATGTGGGTATTGGCTTATGCCTTGCAGCTGCTTAATGGGGCCTGATCGGGGCTCCCACTATGGGGGTGGGGTGCCCCTGGGGTTCATGGTAGGTTCCACCTGCAGGTGGCTGGCGTTGTGGGGCTCTGGCATTCTGGCGACTGAGGGATTTCCTTGGGGCCGTCTCTCCTCTTCTCTTTGTGGGGGAGCAAAATTCCTGGGTTGATCCCTCTTTGGTGCCTTTGGTCTGGGGGTCTCTTTGGGCATCTGGGGTTTTGGGTTCCCGGCCATCTGCCTCGGTGTTCTTGGGGGGGCGGGTTTTTGGCTCTTCACGACCACTATTGTGCATTTTTACTTTGGATAAACTTTACATGCACTCTCAAAAACAACTACAAGTGCTGGGTTACAAGTACTTAGAGATTTACTTCCATACAGAAAGCCCATATTTTTATCTTCAGCTACCACACTATACATGTCAGATTAAATAATATTACATATACTTCATCGATGTTATCAAGGTGTTAGATTATTGTATCTGTTATACTATAGTATAGTATAGTATAGTAGTTATGCTGTAGTTGTGTTGTGTTGTTGTAATCGGAAATACTTCCTGCATGAATTATAATAGAGCTATTTACATGCATAAATCAAGCGGCACACTATGACGAAAGCCGTATTGCTCCACTTCAGAAAGTAACATTTGTTGGGCTCTTTTTGGCATCAAGCCAATTATTCTTATTGCCACATTGCCAGAGAGGACACTGGAAAGAAAAAAGAAAAACAATTATTCATGTATTTCTGTTTCCAATTTCTTAAATTAAACCTGTAACCAGTTTTTTTTTCATATGTCCCTGTAAGTGAATACTTGCTTTGTCAAATTACATTTTTGAACTATTTGCCAGATAGAATAGCCAATTGTAGCATTTATACCTATACCAACAAATTTAAAGGGAGCCTGTGTGATCGGCAGTGATTGTTATTGGTGTTTTCAGCCCTCTGGTCGATCTGTATCTGCTTTGAACGGCCCTCTGGGTGATCGATATCTTCTGTGTTCGGCTCTCTGGGAGATCATATTGGCACCGTGGCTGATCAGTATCTGCTGTGATCGGTCATCTGGGTGATCGATATCGAATGTTGTCAGCTGTCTGGATGATCAGTCCACCTGTGAGCTGCTCTCTGGGTAATTGGTACCAGCTGTGTGCGGCCCTCTGGGCGATAAGTGAAGATGATGGCTGGATGTGGAACAGTGGGGGAGATCTCTGTAGTTCTGCTATACTTAGTTTGTGATTGTGGCCAATCAGGAGGAGGCTCACAAAAGAGGCACCTTGCAGCCATTTGAAAGTGAGGGCACCTGAAAGAAACTTTTGCAGGGAAGAACAGACACGCACGCCCCTGGTAAAATCTCGAGTGTGCGTGGGAGGAACGGGCTCGCCTACAGACGTATTTTCTCCCTCTGAAACTTTAGTTTCTTGTGAATTGGGATTTTTTTTGTGCTATGGTTGATGGACTGATTTGTTAAAGTAAATAAATATACGTTCAATTATGTTTACTTTGCTCTTTGATGTTTTGACATAAATGGGAAGGGTTAATTGTGTTCTAGAGAGCACAATCTTTAATGACCTGTTTCATTAATACTGAAGAATGACATAAAAACTGGATTCAAGATTAAAAGAATATGTTGTCAAGTATTTCTGACTTTTTTACAGCTTACACAGATATTTCTGACTGTACTTCAGAGGGTATAATAGTATTTTTGTGCTATCAACTATGAAATACACAGTTTGTGCGTGGCTCTTTATTTCAATTTTACTGTGTTCATATTTATCTTGTACTTTAGGTGCACAGCTTGTTAATTCAAATTCACACAGCCCCCCCTGTAAAAACCAATATAATCAGTACATGAGTTCAAATATGAGAGTAACCATCCAGTTAGGAAAAAATCATCTCACATCCCAGGTAAAAGAATCACAATACAGTTATTGTGATTCTTTTTAATACATTTTTTAACTTTAACTTTTATCTCCTAATGTGACCTACTAAAGTGCAAATAGTTTGTTAACCATGCAGCTGTTCTAGAATAAAAAAAATTGGATTTTACCACTTTCTATTGTTGAAAGCACAGACATTAGAAGATTGCAGATTAGAACCCATCAATTGTGTGCTTCTTTATAGAATATGCTGTTACTAGTGGCTCGTTGAGAGAGTTTAGTTTACCTCAGAATGACTGAAATATCACACAATCAGCTTTCAAATTGATGAAATTATTGTAACCAATCTCTTATGCTGCAAAATGCCAAATCAACAAAACGAGAGACCTTTATGTGTTAGTTTACATGAGTTGAAATTATTTATTCAGCTAGATAATTAACCTGACACAGTACATATTTTTTTACAAGCTTCTCTATACGATGCCCTTAGATTTATTCATTTGCCTTATGAAATGGAAGAGGCTAGATTGATAACAAAATCCCCCAAATTTAACACATATCTGTGTTATTCATTTATTTACAGGTGTTTGAAATGACATTCATAAAAGGTTGTAAAACAACTATCCACATTTGGCCACTACCATGCGATTGATTTCATACTAAGGTAGAGAGTCAGTTGGTATATGAAATATAAAAACTTAACAAGACGTTACTGTAAGTTAATAATAGAGAAATACGATATATTTACCATACAACCTGTTCTTGTCTGCTATCTATATGCTTTTCTTTGACTTTGTACATGCTGCTACTTGTTGCTCTCATAACTTTGTGAGGATTCTGTGTTTGTAATCATTACTGGGCCCCTGAAACAGAATCCACACATTTAAATAATAGCTAGTGGTCAAGCCCAGGTGTTTGCATTTTTTTGCTCTTTGCCGCTCATCTGCAGAGATTGGTTAGAAAAGAGATAGAAGGTTGTCATTGGGTTCTAAAACCATAATTTTGTGTTTCTTGCAGCTGTTTGCCCCTTAGGAAGGATGTTTAGCCTTTTCTAAGATCTCATCTGTGTCATCAAAAACCAGGAGAGATGAAGGTTCTCAGTAAAAGTTGAGGAATGAGAACAGGGCAGACCTAAATTGTCATAATGGGCTTTAAAGATCTGACCCACATGCAGAGAACCACTCAGAGACCAAGATTAGAAGTTTTACAGGTTTATTGTAGGTTAGCAAACACTGATGCAGATTGTAACTCTGTGGGGAAACAATGCTGGAACTCAGCGGACTGGTGAACCGGAACCGGAAACTCTGAAGGGGAGATCACAGTGATCAGTTCAGAGACAGTGGGAAAAAAGACTGAGGCTTGAATATTGCTGGAGAGGCACTCACTTTTTGGGGTGCTCTTGGGTTATCCTTGGATCCAGTTTGTGGGGGTTTAATCCAGAGAAGAGGGAACTCATTGGAGAGCAGACAGGCAGACATACCTTGTACCCAGAGGAGTAAAGGAGCGGAATGTCACTTGGTTTTCCAGGAGTGGACTTGAACGGATCATGTGGAGGTTTTCCCCTTGCTCAGTGAGACTCAGTAAATCCTTCCAGGGGTAGAAGGTCCAGGCTTATCCAGTAACACAGGAAGTCTTTCTGCCGAAGAACAAAGACAAAAAACAAGTTCAGACTCAGAGAAACAATGCTAGGATTAGACTGTGCTAATCTCAGTTTGGCTAGAGTACCCAATACTGGCAAACACTCTGGTGTCGAGGTGGTGAGATCCCACTGCTCAAGTATTCCTCTGGTAATGACCCAATGAGCCGCAGGTGTGCAGGGAGGCCCAACGAGGACAGGGCACCGCCTGGTGGTGTAGAGAGGAAAATGCAAAAAACAACCCACACAAACTGGAATCCTAACATAAATCAATTTTAGAGATATCAATGACAAAATGAAGAAAGCAGTTGTTGTTTTAAACCACTGACATTGTGAGATCCGAATGTACTCTTTGTTGTTTAAATGGTTGGTGTTTAAATATTTGAAAAATGAGTTGTTGTGGAAACATTCTAAATGAAATAAATAAATTTTTAATTTATTGAACGGTCTTTGAAGAAGCTGGATGGTACACTGAGAACACCACAGTTCTGCTATAGCATTACTAAGGAACTTAATCTGTAAGATATGCTTTTAATTATTAAAAAAACATGTTTATAGTCTCAAATGAATTCACATTTGGCTTTTGAATGTGAAATATGCCTTTAAAGGTTAAGGATAAAGGAATATAAGAATATTCTGGTGTCATGACCTCTATTGTTTTGTATTACTGCCTTAATCTTGAACTAGCAGTTTATCACAATTCTATATAATTGACAAATACAAAACAAAATGCTGAAGAGTAACTACTAGTAACTACTATAGAGTCTCAATTGAGTTTGGGTCTGGACCTTTATTGGACCATTGTGACATACAAATATCCTTCGTTCTTATCAGGTGTGCATTTCAACAGCTAACCTCCTGCAACATTTAGATTAATCTGCGCTCCAGCGCATACAAATTAATTAAGCATGCTGTTAAGTTAACCTGGAAGTTAGTGTTGGGAAAAGTTAGGCAAGGAGAACTCAAGAATGAGCTGACACATGGCAGTGCAACCAAATAAGAAGCTAGGAAGACTAGTCCACATAATTTGGGAATTAACAGAAAACCTTTAAAGGTGCATTCACACTCAACTTGAATGCAACGAGTGGACCATGTTAGTTACTTGCTTGATAGCCTGCAATGCCAAATAAATGCTTCAAGCAATTTGAAGTGTGCAATATGGCAGATTGGAACAGAGTGAAGGAGCGACAGGCATGATGGATGCACACGTAAACCAAAGTGAAACTGAGATCAAGTGGAGTATAGAGTAAAGTGACATTTTGCTGAAATTAAAAAATCTACACCTTTCTGTCAATTCACAATTCAATATCCAATCACAAAATTGATGTGGTTGTGACATTGAGGCCGGTACAGATAACGTTTTACTTCAGTCAAAAAAATCACTCGAGGATGATCTGCTCCTCTTCCACTGTCCTCCTGATACTGGTTACTTGACAGACAGGAAGTATTGCTGGAAGCGATCACCCAGCTGCGGCTCCTGGAGCCATTTGGTGGTTCTTGTTGAAACAGTAGAGGATCTTGTGGACTGAGGACAACCAGCTCCAAAATCTAGCTTTCCTAATCTCATACAAAAAGACAGATTAACCAGACAGAGCTGACTCTGCTACCTGAGTCAGCTGCTGTTCCTAGAACAAAACTACTAACCTAGGGACAGCAGTGTTTCGACAACACAACTGGTATAAAAAAGTTTTGCTGATTGAGTTATTAGAATTAAAATCTAGATTCTTCCTATTATAGGCATTGATATTTTGACATTTTAGGAAAAAAAACAGTCTCTAAAGAAACAGGGAGTTTGAAAAAGGAAAAGAGTACAAAATAAAGCAAAATGAGGTTCAGCAGGAATGGAGAAACAGAAGACAGACTTTAGAAAAAGCTATACTGTGTGTGTCCTTCGCTGAAATGAAGGCAACTATACAAACAGACTGAAATAGAAGCAGTTATTATTCCCTGTAATTCTGTGACTGAACAACTTTTTATCCGTCCATCTCCTTCTCCCTGTCTGAGCTCCCTTCATAATGTATTGTGGTCGGTTAGTTGTGAGACCGACTGAAGGGTGGAGCTGCCTTCACAGTGACCACACACACACACACACGCACACACACGCACACACACGCACACACACACACACACACACACACACACACACACACACACACACACACACACACACACACACACACACATGTTGTGTCACAATATCCTTGTGGGGACCTTCCATTGACTTCCATTCATTTCCCACTAATTTATATGGCCTAACCGTGACCCTTGCCCTAACCCTAACCATTACCGACACATACCTATCCCTAAACCTAACCTAAACTCAATTCACACCTTAGTCCTAAACCTAACCCCCACCCCAAGAAGAGAAACTTTCCTTATTGGGACCAGTTGTTGGTCCCCACAAGTACCTATGAGTCCCCAAAATGTAGCATATTCCTAGGAAATTGTCCCCACCGGGTATTAAAGACATGGCCACATTATACACACACACACACACAGAAAACCTTGTCTCTCTATATTTCCAGGGCCTTTCCCTTGACTTCTATTCATTTCTGACCCATTTCTACCTCCTAACTGTGATCCTTACCCTAAACCTAACGGTTACTGCTTCATACTGACCCCTAATCCCAAACTAAAATTTGTTCATATCTTAGTCCTAAACAGGACACCTGACCCTCAAACATCAATTCCGTTTGTAGAGTGCAGGCATTGGGCCCCATGAGAGGCATTTGGTTTCTACAACATGCTATTTTTCCAGAAAATGGGCCCAACATTTTATCAAATACAAGAATTCACACTAACACGTTGCTTCACACTATCCTTGTTGGGACATTCCATTGACTAAAATTTATATAGCATTCATTTCTGTAGCTAAAAAACAAGACTCTTACTCAAGCCCGTACCATTACCAACTGATATGTAAACATAAAGCTAACCTCAATTCTCATCACAAAGCCCCTTATTTATTTCCTTTCAATTCAGTTTATTTCTATAGCGCCAGATCACAACATGTCATCCCAAGGCACTTTACGGAGACAGTTTAACAAGATCATACAGTCAGACTGATCCAAAGTTTCTATCTAAGTAAAACCAGCTAATTGCATTTACTAATTGACACAAAGGAAATCCCCCACGCCAAGCATGCTTGTAGCAACAGTAGAGAGGAAAACTCCCTTTAAACAGAAAGAAACCTCCAATAGAACCAGGCTTAGTTTGAGCAGCTGCCAAGGCTTACTTCCACTTTCAGAGATTTAACACAAGATATATTCTATTATTATAGAGTGTTAAGTAGCTATATTTTATAATCCATTAAAGGGGCGTGGCGCAAATTCAGAAGTTATAGTTACCTCTAGAGGCTCCATTAGTCCATTCAAGAGAGTAATCCAGGTCATTATCCCTGGGCTTGCATGTGGTAATGCACTGCATGCAGTTTGTTAAAACTTACACTTGCTGGTTATTATTTTTCAATTATCTGTCTACTACCTCCTTTTTGACGGTCTATGCTGTGTGTTGTTATGTTTTTGTTGATTTTGTAAACGACAGTGGGGGGGGGGGGGTGGGAGGGATTGTTTATATTTTTATTACCTGTTTTTTTTTTTATTCCTTTCTGTAATTCCTTTCATATTCTTATACTATGTGAATTGAATAAATATATTAAACACAAAACTTACACTTGCATTTCGTTACTTTGAGACTCTAAGACTCTAAGTCAAACTCATTAGCAAAGCTCCAATCATTTGCAGCAAGTTCACTTGGTGCGGGAGAGAGATGTTCTGCAGGAGCTAATTGAAGGAGATCTGGAAAGGTGATTGATTTTGATAAAGTTGTAAATAGCTGTGTTTTCTACTTCCTCATGCAGTGTGGTATCGTCAGCTTGCTCTTTCTGCTGAACATGGCCCCCAAAAGCCAGCCAGAATAGGAGGAAAGCCACACAGAGTGTAAATGCTGCAGAGGCTGTGACGGCCGGCTCATTTTCTATGTCATCTTCATGTCTGTGAATCATGCATAAATAACCCTTTAGCAGTTTATGTGGTTCAGACCAAAATAATGTTTTCCTTTGATTTGATTTAACATTCTAATTTCTGCAAGTGAACTTAAACTTGTAACAAAGCCACGTGAGTGACCATAATAGAAATTAGTTTATTTAACAATGCCCAGGTCCACCCTGCCACTCTCCTTCTGGGAAAACAAAAGAAACAAGAAATAACTTAAAACCACAGCAGAAGTGTATACCATTCATTGATTTTCATAATATTGTTGTATAATTTTCTGCAATGATTCTTTTGCGAAAGGTTGCACTAATTCTCTTTATTCTCATTTCAAAAGAGTATATTTCCAAAAGTATTTGGACTGGATGTAGGAGGCCTTAAATAAGTGAGTCTCTGTGTGGCCTTTTGTTGACCAGGGCTTTTAAAATATATTCACACCTGAACAAAAAGTAAAAAGGGGGGGGGGATGCATCTGCTTAAAGTAGAAAGAACAAAGGTGGAAGGTGTGAATACACCCTTAAATATGTGACTGTCAGGTCACATTGACAATATAGTTTGTGTTAGTATGATCTTGAACTACTTGGAGTTTTTTATATGCAATTCAGTGTTTATGTGGGTAGGTGATTGTTACCTTTATTTAATAATAAATGTGTTGAATGAGTGTAAGTGACTGTTAGTGTGGAGGTGTGTAATTTGGAGGTGAAGTTCCCACCAGATCCTTTCACAACAACTACGGCCCCCAGCCAGCCCAACACACCATAGGGCACCTGACATTTAGTAGTTACAAAATCATACAATAATCTACTGTTAGCAATCCAGTTTGTGTGGGTTACTTTTGTGTTTTCTTTTACCAACACTAGATGGTGCCCTGTTCTCGTTTGGGCCTCCTCGAACACCTGCAGCTCGTTGGGTCATCAACAGAGGAGTATTTGAGCAGCGGGCTGTCACTACCTAGATGCCAGAGTGTTTGCCAGTATTGGGTACTCAAGCCAAACTGAGATTAGCTGAGTCTAAACCTTTGCCTTATTTTTCTGAGTCTAAGCTTGCTTTGTCTTTGTTCCTTCCTGATCCACTGGATAAGCCTGGGCCTTCTACCCCCCTGGAAGGATAAACTGAGTCACAATTTAGCAAGGGGAAACCTCCACATGATCCATTCAAGTCCTCTTCAGGAAAACCCGGTGACAGTCCGCTCCATTGCTCCTCTGGACCCAACGTTAGTCTGCCTGTCCGCCCTCCAATGATTTCTTTCATCTCTGGATAAGACCCCAC